ATGACCACTGATCATTGAGCAAAGAGGTTCTAGAACTTTCCTTCGAACACTGTTCTAAGAAAAGTTTGCCAATATTCAATCTCAAATTTTATATCATTCTAAAGAACAAGGCAATCCCTTTAGAATGGTTAAAGTATTTTAAATTCATTTAAATCGGAAAAAAAATATTTAGTTTAAAGTGTGTGGACTTTTAAAAATTTTTGTTAGTGCATTTGATTTGTTTCACTGAGACGAACAAAATGATATATAATTTGTCAAGTTGCCACGACATGACTTTTTTTTGTCGCCCTGTGAAGTCGTCTTAACTGTAGAAGACTTTTTTGTTCGCATTTAATCTAACTTGCAATTTGCAACTGTATTTTGGGAAATACAACAAATTCAAAGAGCTGGAAGAAAGTCGAAAGTGGGTGGTTTCGTGCACCAAATCCGATGCATTTTTAATAATGCACCGAGGGCTTGAGAGAGTCGATAGACTGGGGCTCATTACCCATTCACCCCGCACTGCCTAATTGTTCCGGCAACTTCCTGCCGAAAAAACGCACATTTCATACAAAGCGTAAATTAAGTCTGGAAAGTAGGCAGCTAAAAGCTTTTTCATACAGATTAGCTTTTTTGACCCCTAAACTGTATCGATACTAGATAATCCGATTTACCGCCTGGCACAAGCCGGACAAGCTCAGAATACGCGACGTCTTCTCGATCACGCACCCGCTTAAACCTTTCGTCCTGGCGACCCCAAACTCAACACCGATATTCCCAATCACCAGACCGATAAACATTATTCTATTCCGTTAATCGCTCTACAAATTATTCACATCTTTCTTTTTAACCCATCAAAATCGATAACTGAATTACTATACTGCGCCACAATTAAAGTGGATCATTAGCAAAAAGCGATTTATTTTGTATTATGCAAACGCAGCATTGATTTGAATTTGTTCATATTTCAGAAATTCTTCCTTTTTATCATTTTTTGGCATATGAAGGATTAACCACTTTTTTTTCTTGTTTTTAGAGCTGCATTTCAGTATTTTGTATTTCACAAAGGTGACAATTCTGCAATGTATTTAAATTATTTAATTTGGTGTTTTGTAACAAGCCATTTTTATAGAATTTTTGGGTTATTACAAATTTTAAATTAAATTTGGTTAAAACTGCATAATATTGGTTGAAATGTAAAAGAGAATTTGTCTTGCAAATCCAAAATATCAGTGAATATAAATAAATACAGTTTTATTTAACAAAATGTGATCCGCTTCAATTGTGATGCAGTGTACGAGTTATCAATGAAAATTTTAGATAAGAGACAACCTCTGCAACAATGTACTACTACAAATAATATTTTATTTTATTGTGTATGGATATAAACGAAATTTTAATTGTTTTCATATGGGCAAGTTTTTAATTAACTACAAATATTTGTTCAAAGGGAAACATTTAAAACTACTTTTTACGTTCAACGTTTCATCAGAGAACTGCTTGCTAAATATGCAAGTTTTAGCTCACATCATTATCATGCCACGTGATTTTTGCAATAAATGTATTTTTTTCTCTTTAATTTTGAGCGAGTATTGAAAATAAATTACATTATTAATTAAAACGATTTTTGTCAGCTATTTTATTAATTGTTTTTTAGTCATTTTTAGTCAACTAAGACGTTTTTGCTTGCTTGATCTCGATTTTGTTATTTTTACTTTTTTACTATTAATAATAATAGTATATTATTCAAGGTGAATCTTAACTTATACACATAAATTTAGGGAATGATAATTTTTGCCCAATTAAAACGAATAGTGAAAAAAAAGTTCCAGTAAAAGTTTTTCAGTTACCGAGATATTGCCTGATAAAAAAACGCTATTCAACTTTAAATTTTAAATACAGTGAAATTTCTCTTAACGGACACCTCCTATAAGCGGACCCCTCTGTCAAACGGACATTTTTGTTAGCCCTGTTAGCCCCTTTTTGAGCTAATGTATTTCAAATGGCGTTGTCCCCCTATTAAACGGACTCTGTCATAAACGGACGAGGGGAACGTTAAAAACAAAATCTCTTCTTTAAGCAGACAGCATGTCATGCGCGCGTGTGTTATTGTTATGACTAACCGTCAGAAAATTCGGAGAATCACATATATTCAGATTCAGACTTCAGCAGCGGTGAAATTACGTCCATCTTTGTGTTCTTATGTATTACCTACATATAAATACTACTTGCATTAAGTTAAAGAAGAAGTACTTAGAGGAAAAAATAGACTGTCCAATAAAGAAACAGTATGTCCCCGGATCAAGTTTACAACAAGAAAAAAAAATGTTATCTTTGATTTTACGCTAAAACTTCAAAGGAATAACAATTTTTGCTTAACCTGAAACGAGCAAATCCGTAATTAAAACTTTATTATTCTGATTCAGTAGGAAAAACAGTTAATTTTTCTCTTGATTTTCAAATCTCCAGTTTATTTTTTTGACAACGATGTCACTTTGAAAATTAATTAATTAATTGAATAATGATTGTTCTTGTTAAAACTGACTTTGTATTTTTTATCATAAAGCTGTTTTTTAAAATTGCCATTTATTAAAATTATGTTTTTCACAAACATTTTTGTTATTTAACTTGCGTAAACTTATTCGTCAAAGTCACATGGTTATCAAAAAAATAAAACCGCCAATGTGGTGGGATTTAAAACGCTGAGAAAAACAATTCCAAAAAATAAGTCCAAAATCAAGAGAAAAATTATCTTTTCTTTCCACTGAGTCAAAATAATGAAGTTTTAATTATAGATTTACTCGTTTCAAGAAGGAAACTACATTATTTGAAGTTTTCGTCAAAAAGTCCTATCAAATACTATGTTATTATTTTTTTAAGAATTTTTATTTTATTTTGTGTTTATGTACACTTATTTCTTTTAAGAGGACACCTCTATTAACCAGACAAAAAGCATGTCACCGTCGGTGTCCGCTTATAAACGTAGAAGATTTCACTGATTATCATTATTTTCACCAAGCTCGGTAGACAATGACTTTCTTAATTTGACATTTGATAGTAATAACGAAAAAAAAGTTGTGATCAATAATGAATAAAATACAAAATAAGTTAAATGAAACTTTAGATACAGAGATAGAAACTTTTAGGCAAAAATTTGTAGTTTATTTAATATAAGCAATATCAAAGAGAATATAAATTGTATATGATGTTATTACGCGTCGTTTTTATGTAAATCGGATATATGATATATTTTTCTACAAAAAGATTTTCACTTATTTATATATTTTTTTTATTTTTACAGTTACAATAAAAACACTGTTTATTTTTTTAATTCAGTATCAATAAATAAATTTATATAACACCTAATGCAGAAAACTCTAAAATACATTTGCCAAATATATTTTTTTATAGCAAGAGCATAGTCTATTTTAATTTTTATGTTTGCGATACTTTTAATACGCTCTATTGTTTTTCCTTTAAACATAAATAAAGAAAGGTATTTTTTGAATTCCAATGGTTTACGCTTATGTGTTATACAGGGTGCGCCAGACTCCCGCCCCGGAAAAAAATGCCATGTTAGATATGATACCAGGAACATGGAAAAATTGTTAAAAAACTCTATCTATAAAAATTTCCAAGTTATGAGAGTTTAAATTTTGCACTCTATTTATTTTTGTTGGAAAAATCATTTTCCAAGTTTTTTTGCTACATGCTATCAGAAAAGGAAACAAAGAAGCTGTATTCTAAATTGTAACTCTGTTTAGTGTTATTTATGACTTTTATTGGTAAAATGTTTGTACCTTTACTAAATAATTATAAAAAAAAATATATACAAGATCATCAGTATCATTAAATAGACATAAAAAATGTCAAATGTCAAAAAATAAATGTCAATTTTTTTAGCAGATACCATGTTTCTCATCTTACTTGAAATTTTGCTCTGGTGCGCGATTTCTGACACATCCTGTATTTTGTGACATTCCTACGCTTATGTCTTTGATTGTTTTCAATATACTTTTATAATTGTTTATTATATTTTTACTTTAATTACTTTTGTTATTTGATATTATGTCGTTTTGCGTTTTTTAAACTGCCTGAGCCTACCATTTACGAATTTTCTCAGTTATACTTTTTGTTTATATTACCTATTTGGTGTTTTAAAATTCTTACTTTTTAAAGTCATTTAGCCAATCTAATGATCTTGCTTTCTTAAGTTTGCGTTTTAAACGTTCGCTTTTATGTTTCGGTACTACCTTCTGCTACTTCTGAATTTTTGTTTTTTTAATTTTTTTTGTTATTTTTTTTTCTGATAATTTTATTAGCCGTACAATTTCCGACGACGATTCTTATAAAATTGTGAATGAAGTTTTTTTATCTATACTTTTGTGAGTTGTATGGAATTTTGTCAGTTTGGGTGAATTACTCTGTATATCTAGTAAAAGTCCGCTCCTGTCGGTTTATATATTGCAAGAGTGTAGTAAGCTATATGTAAAAATTTTAAATGTTATGAATATATTTGGTATAGTGAGAACCCTTGGCGGTAGTTTGCATACCGTGTCGATAACGTGACGGTTAAGATAAAAATTTCGTTAGTTATAATCGGAAGCAAAATTGGATTATTGGAAGATGTAATTCCGTCAATATGTTTGGGCCTTGTGAGATTTGAAGTCGAAAATAAAGGCCGTGTGTTTAGCGATTTCTAGACGTCATCGTTAACCACGTGCTCGGTAAGTTTAATGCGAAAATGATAGAATTTCGCAAGTTGGTTCTATTCGATCAGATGCGATCTATTTATGATCAATGGTGGCTTGTGATCCGTCAGTTTCGTCAATGGGTCGGTAATCCCTTACCGTCAGTACCGATTTGAATACAAGATGGATGTAGTAAGTTGTACGGGGGTGGCGGTTGTACGGGGAGGCGGGTTGCGCCGGACCGACCTCGTGGCGTGGTGGCGCAAGGCGCACGCTGCGATCAGGATCCTGCCTGATCCTCGTCCTCGCTGTTCACTGCTTCCTCGAAGTTTTTCGTGGCCGGTAGTGTCCGTGTGTACCGCAGCGTAACGTAACGCAACGCTCGCCACATGTGAGCAACCAATGGTATGTGCGGTGCTGGGGCGATCCTCTGGCTGCTGGCCGCGGCGGACCTGGTGCTCTCCAGCGAGTTCCCCGAACGCGAGTGCTGTGACCTGCCCTTGCCCCAGCCGACGGCAGCCACCTCCTCGACGCCGGCCTCCACCCAGCGTCCAGGTGAGGTCATCCGTCACAATTACCACCGCTCCCATCTATCTTAACCCACCCCTTCCCGGCCGTCGCATATATCACTCTATTTGCCCAAAACCGTCTTCGATGCAACATCGATTTACCGCACACCACGTGTCCACCTGCACCCCACGAAGTAAACAAAAAATCTATAAATCGCTTGTTCAAGAGCGGTTCGCCTCCTGGCAAATTCTATTCCATTTTCCGATCACATCCCACGAAATAATTGACAGACAAAATCGTTTTTGTATATAAATACACTTCGCCCTGAAATTAACGCACATCTTCAACATATTTTTTACAACAAAAAAATCACTCTACAAACACGTTGCTCCACAAAAACTTTACCCTCAATTACAAATAAATTTTGTACGTATATCAAGAAATTATATTCTGTGTAAAACCAGTATTAAAATTAATTGAAACCAGCAGAAAGTTATGTTTATTAAAAGTTAATTAAAAAATCTGGTGTGAACATCACATCACTTTCTTTATCCTACTTATTTGGAAAACTTTCTAACGACAATAATTTAGTGTTGGAAATCCGAGTAGCAAACCTAACCTTTGCGTTATTGCCACCTGCCGGATTACACGCGAAATAGATCATATTATTATTATTTTATAACATTTTACTCTTTAATAAGGTGTATTTCATGATTCTAAATAATTTGCATCCCCATGAATTTATTGTATCTTCAATCATATATATTTGCGACCGCTACACGGCTAACTTTTGGTCTTTGCGGCCGAACGGTGCGACCGATTTTTACCAATTGTTTCGTGCTACGTCCCCTTGCTACATGTAACTTACATACCATATTTAAAGTTTCTAACTCTTATCGTTCTCGAGATATGCTGTTTACAGACAGACACACACACACACGACCCAATGGCCCAAACCAACTTTTTTGGTGTCTTGAAGCTATAATTCGCCCAGAAATGTAAAAATCTGACTAGGTCAAATTTCAGCCAATTACAATACTTTCCTTATAAGATAAGGAAAGTAAAAAGGCACTTTTTTTCTGGTTCTTACTACTTTTTTCTTTGGTGGATTTTTGCTATACAGGATGCGCCAGAACTCGCGCCTCAGAGAAAAATGTCATATAAAGTAAGATGCCAAGAACATGGAAAAAATGTTTAAAAAAATTTATCTATAAAAATTTCGAAGTTATGAAAGTTTAAATTTTGCACTTTTCTGTTGGAAAAATAATTTTTCAAGTTTTTTGCTACAGTCTATTAGAAGAGGAAAGAAAGAAGCTGTGTCCTAAATTGTAATTTTATTCAATGTTATTTGTGGCTTTTATTGGCAAAATTTTTGTACCTTTACTAAATAATTGTAAAAAACATATACAAGATCATCAGTATCATTAAACAGACATAAAAAATGTCAAATGTCAAGAAATAAATGTCAAAATGCTTCAAAAACGTTTTTTATTTAACTGATTATTAACACTGAGTATTTAGTAAAACTACTAGCAAACAACACTATTCAGGGCATTCAAAGTTAATGTTGACGACCAATTAAGGACTTTCAAGTCTGTTTCAGACAAAAAAGAAGTGAGGTGTTTGAAAAAATTTCAAAAAGCAATTTTCTTAGTGTAACACTAGACCTTACAATCTTCGTATAAATGCTTGTTTATCATGTTTGAAGCAATTGAAAATTACTTAATAAAATAAAAGGTTATTTAAAACATAATCCTAACTAAAAGCTTTATTTCGCAAGCACTTTGCTTTTTGTTAATTTAACTATGAAGTGAAGTGGATGGAAGTTATGAAGGTATGATGTCGCTCACTTGAACTATTTGTTTTTATTTTGAAAAAAAATAAATACAATACGAACTTTATCAGTTCGAGAAATCTGATACCGCAGTAGAGGAATTGAGATTACGGCCGGTGCACTCTTCTCACATTTCTATATAAAAAGTTTGAGATGCTTGAATAAAATTTTTGAATCGTCTCGAAAACAGTTTCTCAACTAAGTTATCAAGCAGAGAACATATTTCTTTTATTCAAATATTCAAAGTATAAGTCACGGGTTACCTCCTTTGTACTTATCTAACACGTTTTTACTTATAGGTACATAAATCTTGAAAAATCTTTTATTCTCACATCGACCAGAATTACGAGTATTCTAATGTTCATAAAACCGCATCGGAATTATATAAACAGAGATATTGCTTCAAATTCAACTCAAATATTTGCTTAGCCACCAAATTTCACAACTTGTAGCAACAACCATTTTGGAATAAGTTTAACAGAACTAATGCTCTCCCCATTCGTAAAAATAAATATGGTACGTCCTGGGCTTTGAAAAAACACGCTGTGGGTTTTATTGAGCTGAGTTTAATGAATTTCCGGTCTTTCTTACTTTTTCTTGAACAATTACCGAAACTAAAGAGACTTCAGTTTCTATTGCTATTCACTGTCTTTTGTCTAAATCTTTAACCAACGGCTGAAGAAATTTTCATTCACTTTTTGTTTAAAACTAGACGAATAGTTAATTCAATCAATAAGTATGGTTGTTTACAGTTGATGTTTTCCCGAAGTGGTAAATCTAGCAAGAACACAAGCTCAGATAATTTGCTGAATATTATGTATTCTGGATAAACTTCTAAGACAGTATTACACTTATAAGTTCGTTGTTATAACTTAGTCAAGTTGGAAGTGCATCATTACGAGTATTTAAAGAGTTGTTTCCATGCACACATACATGAAAGTAATTTAATTGTTACGATTTGTATCTAGATGCTAAAATATTGTTTAGTGCAGTATCTAGATAAAAGTTATTTTTCGAGTGGTCATTTGATATGAAATTCGGTTGAAGGTCAATAGACCCACAAATAATCTGTAGAAATTGAATCGAAAACAAAAAAACGACAAGAGATGAGGGTCAGCTTATTTCTACTTTTGGAAATATTTTAAAGACAAGTTGTCTCAAAGGATTCATGGGTTATGTGACTTTTGGCTTTTGTCTTGTCGTGGCAGAACATGCAAGTTGATACACGATTATGTTTCTGTTTTATTGTTTCACTTGAGAGTTACTTGTTCTCGAAACAGCCGTACTATATTATTAATTAAAGGGCACGTTAGTTTACAATTTACAACAAAACACAAAGTTGTATTCTCACTGAAAAAAATCCTTGGCATTATCTCACTTAACACGGGTTTATCACTTGATGAAAATGAAACTTGACCTTATTCCCTATATTTTAAGACACGAAGCTCTTCAGTTTAGTTGAGCACATGCAAATTCTTGCTTTCCTTACAACGGATTCGTGTAATCGTTAAGCATTCTGTCAAACCGCGGCTGGATATCAAGCAACCCTTGCAAAACGTGTCATCCATTGAGCTTGGGAACTTCCACGACTTTCATTACTTTTTACAAGTCATACTAATAAAATTTCTTCAATTTGAAACCCGTCCCAAAATCATTATTTTGTGGTTTTAAATTAATAATGTAACTGAGAGCAAATAAAATTTGCCTCACCGGAAATGCTACTTACACATATCATATGCTGAGATTTATAGTTTAATATTACACACAGATTGTCAACAGTTTAAAATAAAACACAACACGGTATTATATAAAATCCACGTACGACCACTCTTCTAAGTACACATTTGCTCGATTTCATAACATTGCTATGCGTACTGTGTAAAACAAAATTCGTTCTGCCTTTTCAGCAATTCCCAAGACGCATAAAACATTTTTTAAACACATAGGAGCAATCTAGAAGTTTTAAACTTCCGCCAAGTCGGACAACAAGCGGGAAATTTAAAACCTTTTAAAATAAAAATTATCGCGACGTCAATGTAGGTCATAAAACTTATTTGCATTAATTCTTCAATTTTAAAAACCCACTTGCACGTGATACACTTTGTTGGTCAAAGTCCTATAAAGCCTCTATTATTTTTTATTTAGTTTAAACTTTGTTTATTAGCAATAAATAAAAATCGACAATGTTAAAACTAGTTGTTTGCACGATATGGGTTTAATCGTCGGCCACAAAGTAGTTAAAAAAATCTGCACGTAATTTTTAATTACATGTGCAAGCAGAAAATCGATTAACGTCCAACTAATACATGCATAATTACTTAACTTTGCTTTTATCACCTACGGCCTTCGCAAACTAATTTGAATAAATTTTTAGAAAATTGTAGATTTGATTTAAAAAATTTCAGTTTTATTTAGATAATCTATTTGTTGCCACGAAATGTGATTAAAGAAATGGTTGGTTAGTGGAGTTATTTGTTAGTGAACTATGTGAAATAAAATCTGAAACGAATGAAAATCTGTCGGTTGCGGGCGGCACATATTGAACTTTAGACACGTAATTAATAACTTTTTGCTGTAGCCAATTAAACTGTTGAAGACCTTGGTCAAAATTGTATTACAGTTAGCGTTTAATAGAATTGTCGAATGGCCCATCAAAAACATTTTATTGGAATGATCGAGCTTCCATTAACCTCATACTCGATAGCCGTTTCGATGATGAAATATAAAAGAATAAAGTCGCTTCGAGAGGATTGGGGGAGGAAAAAAAACTGGCGGATCGTTCAAACTTGAACAAGAAAATACAAGGCGAATTTTCTTATTGTCATCTTGCCAAAACGCATAAAACTGGAAGGGATGCAATGTTATCATAGTAAAATGTCAACTTCTCGTATTTACGGCTTTTGCCTACTTTATTTTTTGATTTTTTACAATTCTCTTAAACGTTGCAAAAATACTATCTTATTTCGCAGTCTCTTAAATTCTACTTGCAAAAAATTAGGTGAATACTAAGGAATACATTTTCCCACGCTACCGCTTTCTAAACAAATTTTAATTAGACCAGTTTTGCAGATCGGGGAAAATTTCTCAATAAAAAGAAAGCCTTTTACGGTCCATATTTTAATACCAAACCTTATTCTTTGTGGAATTTTTATAAATATTTAACTTAATTACATTAACTGATACTTTAGTTTCAATTAAGCGCAAATTTAAT